TGCTCCCTGCCATCCTGGTGCACTGGGAGCTGTGACACCAAAGTTAACCCCATGTAGGAATGGGTCACAGTAAAACCCCAAAAGCTTCAAAATGACCTGGAGTCCCCCCTGGGACTTTTGCTCAACTGCCAGGAGAGAGGAATTCAGGCATTGATCACCTGCAGCTCTCCAAACCAGTCTGTTGGCCACTGCTGTTATTTTCATGCTGTCCACAACCAGTACTTCTTTTTTTTCCTGTTTTAAATGCCACGCATTTATTAAAGACTTCCCCAAAGCTGAGTACCCCCAGTCCTCCCTGCTTTGTTTACCAGGATTTACTGCCTTTTTGGAAGCTTGTGTAAAACTCTGGTGCCTGAATACCAGCCTGCAAGCAAATCTATCACACTGGTCCAGCCTCAATATCCCAGACAGTGAACTCGGGGCCAGACTGGTGGGAAAATCGACCGTACTCTGTAGGAAATTTTCTCATTCAAACCCTTCCATCAGACTGTGACCAAAAAGCAAAAGAGCTGGGAAAAAGCTCGCGTTTCCAATTACCCTCTTCAAAAGGGAGAGAAAAATTGGAACAGGATCGTTCTCCTCCTGTGCGGGGAGTTTTTATTGTGGATGTCATGATCCAGCCTGGCCATCATCCACGCCCTCCTTCTCGCCTTGCTGCTCCCTCCCTGAACAAACGATACTTGGTTGCTGTTAATTGGGAGCAGCCAAAATAACTGAATCCCCCGGAGATAGGAGTGAGGACGGAATCTCAACGAGACACCCCGCCGATGAATGTGGCTTTCAGCTGCTCCTACGCCCCCGTGAAGGGAAAAGAATAGGGGCTCTGTGAAAGTGAAACAGCCAGTGCTGACCTTGGGTTTCTGGGTTGGTGTTTTTTGTTGTGTTTTTTTTCTCTTTCTCTCTCTTTTCTAACGTTAATTGCTCGTCACTTTGTCCCATCACATGATCGCTGGAAGCTGCCAACTTGTTCTCACTCACTCACATCACAAGGTTTGAAATAAGCAGGGCACCAGGTTTCTGATTTAGCATTGTTCAGCCCAGTATCAGATGTGTTTCTTGTGATTTCGGACTATTATTTTGAAAATCTCTGCCCCTCACAGCCTGTTTAAAACTGGCATTTTCCAGCTCTGAAAGCCTGCCTGGAACAATCTGTGCTGTCAGGGAGATGTGCAGTGCCCAGGCTCTCTGGGGCAATGCTCACTGCATGCACTGAGCTCTGGGGATGAGAGACCTTGGCAAAATCCTGGCATGAGTACGAGCGGTGCAAGGCGGAGCCAGGCTGTGCCTGGGACAGAAGCTGCCTGTGTCTCTCACACCCTTGTCAGCATGCAAAGCAGGCAGGCCATGGACTGCATTCCCATGCATTCCCATTCCCAGGCTCAATTGCCACTCTCCCATGTGTTGCCTTTGCTCTATATGTGCAGTTTTCAGCAGGTTTCTCCACAGGAGATGAGCATCTCTGCAGGTCTTTGCCCTCTTGCCCTGTCCTTGCAGTTGTGCCCTCTTGGAGGTTTTCAGTTCCTGCTCTGCTGAGATTCACTCTGGCATTACTCTGTTCTCTCCAAGATGTAAGGAACTTCAGCATGTCCTTTCTTCCTCTGCCTCACCATCATGATCATTGAATCATAGAATTCCAGAATGGTCTAGGTTGGAAAGATCATTTTGTTCCAACTCTTCTGCCACAGGCAGGAAAAAATCCTTCCCTGTGAGGGTGGTGGGGCCCTGGCACAGGTTACCCAGAGAAGCTGTGGTTGCTCCATCCCTGGAAGTGTCCAAGGTTGGATGGGGCTTGGAGCAAGCTGGGATAGTGGAAGGTGTCCCTGGCCGTGGCAGGAGGTTGGAATGAGGTGATCTTTAACATCCCTTCCATCCTGAAGCACTCCACAATTCCATGATTTATGAATGAACTCCACTAGCTACAAGAAGCCAGAACAGGCTGGCTGTGCATTGGAACAGGGCAGAGTGAGTGTTGTCTCCTGTTCACACCTTGCCCTCACAGGACTGCCCCAAAGTCAACATTTGCCTTGCCTGCCTAGATTTTGGCATGTAACTCCATAGGGATACACAACCTGCTGAATGAACTGCATGTCCCATCATGGATTAGGACCCTGCAGACCCTTAGGAGAGAAAAAAAGTCTTTATGAGTGAGAACAACATTAACTGCCCAGCAAGTGTGCTATCTTCAGCATTGCACACCTGTGAAACTGAAACAGCATTTCCAGGGACCATTTTGACTTTTGTGGCCAAGGCAGCTCCATCAAACACAGCAGACAAAGTCCCCTGTGGCAAACAGAGAAACAAACCTCCAGCCTTGAGAGATGCTAAGGGAGAAAGCCTAGGCAGTATAGGGCAGAAAGAATTTTCTGGAAAATGAAACCTAGTTATGGCAGCTCCCCTCTGCTAGAATACAGAAGCAACATGAAAATATTTTGTTTCTTATCAGATGCTTTGGCTTTCTACAGGAAGTGAGACTTGCTGCCTGCTTGAGAGTCTGCTCTGACTTTGCTCTTCGTGCTGTCTCACCCTGAGACTGCCAGGTCCCACCTCCTTGCTTTCAGAAACTCTCTCATGGTGTTTAACACTGTCCTGTTCTCTGTATCACAGCCTAGCAGGGGTCTCCCATCATGGAATCACAGATTGGTTTAGGTTGGAAGGGATCTTAAAGCTCTTCTAGTTCCAGCCCCCTGCCATGGGCAGGGACACCTTTTCTAGACCAGGTACCCGCACAAACTGTTGGTGTCTCACCTCTGGACACAGCTAGTAGGAGAAAAATTGAAACAAGAGAAAAATTGGCTGTTTTCCACAGTCAGGCAAAATACTTATTTGTGTTTCTTTTTTTTTTTTTTTCCTACCTCCATCCCCTGCAGCTCCAGTTGTGTGCATATAAGCTTAGGAGACAGATTCTGCTCCTGCAAATCTGTGTGTGTTGATTTCACAGGAGTAACCAGAGCCCTGCACAGTCTGATGGGGCCCCATCAGCACCAATTTCAGTTTAACAAGGGCATTTGTGATGAATTCTCCTCTATTTTGTATGACACAAACACCAGCAGGGAAGAGAGGTATCTAAGTTATTGGAAAACAGGGGGTATTGGGAATTAATTTAATGCCAGGAGTTGTTCTCCACATATCAGGATCCTGCTGTGCCCTGAATCTGAATCTTGCCAGCCAGAGCTTAGCAAGTCTGGAGGTTACCAAGGAGCAGGGCATCAGAGGAGTGCCCAGCACTGGGTTTGGCTGCTCTGAGCATCCAGGGACTTCTCTGGCAGTCCCTCAGCATTGGCTCCATGGATGCTGCCAAAGCTCTGATGCTGTACCCAAACTGCAGCCAGCTTGGATGTGAAGCCTCTCATTTCTTGAGTCCTTCTCAGTCCTGATGCTTCTTACTTGTGGAGGGATGAGGGCTGCAGGTTTGGGACTGTGGATTCCTCCACTTCTCCCTCTTCCATACTCACTACAGTAATCCATGGCCAAGTTGTGTGACAGGGGAGGTTGAATTTCTTTGCAACTGCCATGATTTGTTTGGGACCCTCTTAAATCATGTGCAGACATGCTGTTTATCCCTTAGATGAGTGATTTACATCCCAGTTTTGTCCCTGAGCATTTTGTTCTGGGGTAAGGGGTGAAAAATCACCTTCATAAATCATCAGATGCTTCCTTGCCAACTAACTGCTTCCTGCAGGCCCTTGTTGGCAGCTTGTGGCTCCTGAACACACTCCAAGCTGAGTGCGTGAGGAGGTGGGGAGGAAGGGCAGGCATGTGACATTGCTGTGCCCATCTGATGCAGGCTGACCTGCAGGGACAGGGCTCTGCCATCCCCCTCTGTGCTGAATTAGGTCAGGGAACAGATATCCCTGGGAATCTGGTGTCAGGACCCAGGACATCCCTCTGGCTGTCCTGAGCAGCCAAGACCCCTGCCAGGGGGCTCAGAGACCCTGGCACAGAGCCCAAAAATGCCTCTGGTTTTGATTATGACCCGTGGAGCAAGTGACCAACCTTAGATGAAGATCTGCAAGCCATGACAAATTCAGTACAATGATAGTGAATTTATCACAAGGTGAAAAAGCAGATTTTGGGGTTTTTAGAACGGGGATTCAGGGGGTAAGATGGAGGGATCTGGGCATGTCCAGCCTTCCTCCTTCTTCTTCTTGGGCTCCATCTTCTGCTGTGAAGTTGACTCTTTTGGATTGGTTTAGAGTAGAAGCTCACTGTCTAACATAGGTGATAGGTATTGGGAAGTTATTGTAAACACGTAGTTTTTAGTATAAAGACATAACACCACCCCGAGGGCAGGCAGAGTGCCTCTGACTGTCTTGCTGAGCAGATCTCAGCAGGCCAGGAGAAAGAATTTTATAGATAAAATACAATAAACAACTTTGAGACCGAGAAATGAAGAGCCCTGACTCCTTCAAGTACCGGGCTGGGAAAAGAGACTTTTGAACTCCTCAGGGTCACTCTGACCAGCTAGAGACCCTGAAAATCTGGTGCTGCCTCAGTTCCTTCTCTAACTCCCCAGGAGATCTGGTACCCCTAAACTTGACAATATTCATAGAATCATGGAATGGTTTGGGATAGAATGGACCTGAAAGACCATCTTGACCCAACACCCTGCCATGGGCAGGGACACCTCCCACTATCCCTGATTGCTCCAAGCCCTGTCCAGCCTGGCCTTGGACACTTCCAGGGATTCAGGGGCAAGCACAGTTTCACTGGGCAACCTGTGCCAGGGTTTCACCATCCTCACAGGCAACAACTCCTTCCCAATATTCCATCTATCCCCAACCTTGTGGCAGTGGGAAGGCAGTGCCCCTTGTCCTGTCCTTCCAGGCCCTTGTCCCAAGTCCCTCTCCAGCTCTCCTGGAGTTCCTTTAGGCACCAAAAAGGGTAGGGTCTCTAAGGGCCAGCATCTCCATGGTGCCATGGTTAATCCCACTGGGAATGGCAGCATGCTCTTCTCCCCCGTGCACCACCATTAACATTTCCTCTTTCTCCCATCCCCTCAGGGCAGGAAGAGACGTTCCCTGGAGCGGGGCTGAAGGATGACAGCCATCCTGGAGCGGCTCAGCACGCTGTCCCTCAGTGGGCAGCACCTCAGCCGGCTGCCCCGGCTGCTGGAGGACGGTCTGCCCAAGATGCCGTGCACGGTGAAGGAGTGTGAGGTGCCGCAGCTCTTCCGCGAGCCCTACATCCACAGCGGCTACCGCCCCACCGGCCAGGACTGGCGCTACTACTTCCTCAGCCTCTTCCAGAAGCACAACGAGGTGGTCAACGTGTGGACTCATCTCCTGGCGGCCTTGGCCGTGCTGCTGAGGTTCAAGACGTTCGTGGAGGCCGAGCAGTTGCTTGTGGATGCGTGGTCCTTGCCGTTGCTCATCTTTGTCCTCTCCTCTGTCACCTACCTGACCTGCAGCCTCTTGGCCCACCTGCTGCAGTCCAAGTCGGAGCTGTACCACTACACCTTCTACTTCGTGGACTATGTTGGAGTCAGCATCTACCAGTATGGCAGTGCCCTGGCTCATTTCTACTACAGCTCTGACCAAGCCTGGTATGACAAGTTCTGGCTTTTCTTCCTGCCAGCAGCAGCTTTCTGTGGCTGGTTGTCCTGTGCTGGCTGCTGCTACGCCAAATACCGGTACCGACGGCCTTACCCCATCATGAGGAAGATGTGCCAGGTGATCCCAGCAGGGCTGGCTTTCATCCTGGATATCAGTCCTGTGGCTCACCGGGTGGTTGTGTGTCACCTGGGGGGCTGTGAGGAGGATGCTGCTTGGTACCACACGTACCAGATACTGTTTTTCCTTATCAGTGCTTATTTCTTTTCCTGCCCTGTCCCTGAGAAATACTTCCCTGGCTCCTGCGATATTGTTGGCCATGCCCACCAGATCTTCCACACCTTCCTGGCCATCTGCACCCTGTCACAGCTGGAGGCCATTCTTTTGGATTACAAGAACAGGCAGGAGATTTTCCTGAAGAGACACGGGCCTTTCACAGTTTATCTCTCCTGCATCTCTTTTTTTGTCTTGGTGGCCTGCAGTGCCATCACAGCTTACATCCTGCGATGCAGGATCAAGGCCAGCCTGGCTAAAAAGGACTCCTGAGAGTCACAGATGTGACAGGCATGACATCACCAGAGAAAATCAAGGAAAAGGGCATAACATACTAGAGACATGACTGTCTTACTTGCCTAACACGCCGTGACTAACCAGGACCCTGGATTCAGATGGAGGGCTGGACACTTCATGCTGGATGCATTTTCACAGCAGGGATTGCCTTTTGCCATCCAGGGGGGGCCATGGAGTGTTTTAAGTCAGAACAAGTCACTGAACCAAGGATGCTGAAATAGGCAGAGGTTCCTTGTTCATTCTGGTAGAGCTGTGGGTGAGACCTTGCTAAGGTCAGGGAGGGCAGCCTGGAGGCTGTGGGACTGCAGAAGGGTGTGCCAGGGCTCACAACACCATGAGGAGCACAGCTGGATGTGATGACCTCTCTGAGTTTGGCCATATCTGTGTGAGAACTGTTCCTGTCAAAGGCAGTAGGAAGGTTTTGGGAAGTTTGTGTTTCTAGGATTGGGGTGTGAGGGCACATGTGGCACTGTGGCTGCTAGAATCCTTTTCCTGTTGCAGTCAGGTTCTCTCTGAGCTCCCCTTTTCAAGGGTGTCAATGCCAGGTCACTTAGATGGCTTTGGGAAAACATCTTTGGAGATCCTGGCTTGGTCTGGGGTCCTCTGGGACAAACTGGGTCTGTGTCATCTGTCAGGGAGTCTCACCAACCTCTAGCAATGTCCATGAAATGTGGACTAACTTGGATGGGATCTGTTTGATACAGGAAAGACTCTGCTCCTCCAACACTACTGTGGGTCATGGTCAACAGGGTGTAAAGGTGAAGGAGTCTTTATTCCCCTTTTAATGGTGCTTTGTATCCTTGGTGAGCATTATGGAAAAGCTGACCTTGAAGCTGCAGGGTTGCTGTTCTATGATGAGTGGGGCTGTGGCTCTGGCATGTTTTTATCAGTATTAGATGAAGGTGAAACAGCAAAAGTAAAGGAGAGTGATGACATTAGGGTCCTGGACAACTTCGGGATGGGTTTGTCCTTGGGACTTGGTGATTCCTGTGTGGAGTAGCAAAGATAGTGGTCAGGGTCACTTAATGTCCATGGGTCACTCCTATCCAAGGTAACAAAAGCTGGATTACTGTGTCCCCCTCTAGAAGAATCTATTCTGTGCTTGCCTTGGGGGAATACTGAACATGGAGCCACCAAGGAGGATTAAATCCTTGCTAAAACCAAGGAATCCATGGGATCTATCCCAGCCACGGATTTGTCTCTTTGAGCCCAAGGGCAGGCAAATGAATTGTGATTGCTGGTTCTGAGCAGGCAGAGTGTAGGGTTGGGGGTATGGTTGGTGAGGACAAGCACTGATTTCTACGCTTCATCTGTGTTTCAGCTCTTGAGGTGTGTGTGTGTATTTTCATGTTCCTTGTGTGTGCATGGGATTTGTTATCCAGAAGGGCTTTGCCGTGGGATTTTATATCTGCAGAGCCTCCTAGCTGGGTTAAGATTAACCTGAAGGACGCAGTGCTGTCCTTCTGGAGGAGCAAGGTGGGCTGGACAACAGATTTGTTAATAGATGGTGGAAAACAGACCTGGAGATTGGCACTTTGCTGGTCGTGTGTTTAGTAGGTAAATTTGGGACTCATGGCCCTATAGAGAATTAAATACAAAGGGAGAGGGAAGTAAGTTTGGAATATAGGAGAAGAAGTCATAGGAAAGCCTTCAGGAGGTCATCAACTCCACCCTTTCTCATCAGTCTCAGCTGGTCTCAGCTTAGAAATTAATTACTTGATTTTTGTAGGGTGTTTTGATGGTACAGATGGTACAGCCATGCTGACCTAGAAGAAAATCTGCCTCAGGGGAGATGCCAAGCAGGGGTGGTCCCACTTGCACCTCGTTCAACCTCTCCCCATGCACAGAAGTTCATCTCACCACAGAGTGAGCCAGTTCTGGGAGAGGGACCTTTGGGAAACCAATCCTACTGAAAAAATGTCAGTAATTTTTGGCTGGTTTTAATTCTGAGCCAACTCACTTGGACAATGCAGCTGCTGGCAGGGAAGGGCTGGAGTGGAGGCCAGCAGCAGCTCCTCCTTGCATGGCAGCTGGCTGCTCAGCTCACTCAGCTGCACTGATGGACTGCTCCTTCCATGGCCTCTGGCTTTGTTTGTGGGTCTCCTCCCAGTTTGAGAAAAGGCTTCCAGTGCAAGCAGCTTTTTCTCACAGCCTAATTTGCCTTGGTTTTGTGGTGGGTAAGGCAGAACAAGGCTCTGGGTGTGGAACTGGCTGGATGGTATCAGTGGGTTCCTGTGCTGAAACAAAGGTAAATCAAGTTGGTCCAGAGCTCATTTCTGAGATAAAATGAAGAAGGATTGGGCATGGCTGGTAATAGCAAAGTGCTCTGCTGCTACCTGGAGTTACATCGGTACCAAAGGAAGGGATCAGCCAGGTGTCCCCTTCTCTGAGGGTTTGAAAGCAGATGACATGCCCTGCCTTTGTTGAAGAAGGGTGAGTATAGTAATCTCATTCAGGGACAGGGAGAGGAGCCCACATGGCTCTTCCAAGGTACTTCTGATCATATCTGGTACTTCTGATCATATCTTCTCCTCCCTGGCTGAGGAGAAGTGGACAGTGGAGCAGTGGTGTGACAGTGGAGGTGGTTCTGCACAGTCCCACGTTTCCCCTCAGGTGAAGCTGAGCCCATCTCCGTGTGGCCCTGCACTCCCACCTGGAGCTGACTCCTGGTTACGATGATGGGTGGAGTGAGCTGGGATCTCCAATACAGATCTGTGCTGCTGTGAGGATGCGCCCTTGTGTCACAAGGGGCTCACCAACACTGGAGCTTCCTTTATCCCCGTGTCCATCCTCCTCCTCCTCCAACCAGCTTCTTTCTTTCCTTCATCCTTATGCCTTACGCACCTGGCTGCCTTCCTGGGCAGACTCCACATGCTGCAGTCTCAGCTGGGAAGTGGCTGTGGAGGCTTTGCCAGTGATCCAGAGGACACCAAGGCTGGATCTGGAAAAATCCAAAGTGCCTCTGTGATAAATGCTCAGCTTGTCTGAGCCCCCCAGGAGCTTCTCCTTGGGCTCACTGCTTGGAGCAGGTCTCCTCCATCCTGGTGTTTCTAAGGAGGCATGCCTGGGAAGAACGTACCAGTGATCAGGCTTGGTGAAGAGCTGACCACCAAGGGTTGAGCACACCTGAGATCCCTCAGGGATCCCTGAGGTCACAGTCCTCTCCCTCAGGAATATCTGGTACTGAGGTAGTGTTCCTTCAGATCTTGCAAACCAGGACAGCTCCTGAGAATTCATCCCAATGTGCCTTGTGCTATTTCTTTTGGGGATTAATCCTGAAGGAACCTGAGGATCAAGGGCAGCCTCTTTGCTGTCTGCTCCATGGTCCATGGTTGCTGTTAACAGCCAATTCCCACTGACAGGATTTGCTCCATGTACAGAGCAGGAGGGGAGGATGGAGACAGGTGCCTTCAATTTGTATTTATGCCTAATTTGTGTAACAAGGCAAGGACAGGTTCCTCATGTGCCTTGCAATTTACATCTTTTACTGACAAGATTATTTTTAAGCACTGTTTGTTACTAAACAGAAATACAAAAGAGTTTGTATTTTTTTCCTTTGGGAAACAGGGAAGGATATGAGTGCTCCTTATTAACTATCCCCTTCCCAACTCCCACCTGCTGACTTTGTATTGTTGAAAACATTGACAATATTTTAAGCTTTGTACTGTACTGATCTTTATTTAAAAACTTTAATGGAAAAAAAAATCCGTGAAAGCAAAACAATTGGTGTGGTGTGAAATTCCCAAATGCACAACTGCATAACTACAGAAGGTTATGAGTCATTAGAAAAAAATAGGGATAATAATTACAGAGAGGATATATTGGAGAGATAATAATTACAATAATGAACAATAAGGTGTGGTTTTATCTGTGCATCTCAAAGCACTCCCAAGGTTTCATGATACCTTTTGGATTTCATTCCCTTTCCACAAGGGAAGTGCAGAACAACTGCCCTGACACTGATTAGAGAAATTTTAGTTCATCATCCACAGTCACAGAAGGGTTGATTTTGGAAAAGATCTCTGGGAGCCACTTGGTCCAACCCTGAGCTCAATCAGGGCCACTCAGAGCTGGTTGCTCAGGTCCATGTCCAGATGGATTTTGAATATCTCCAAGGATGGCAACTCTGTCACCTCTCTGGACAACCTGTGCCAGTGCTCAGCCACCCTCACAGTAAAAAAGAGTTTTCCTGATGTTCAGAGGAACTTCCTGTGTTCCAGTGTGTGCCTGTGCCCTCTGGTCATGGCCCTGGGATCCAGCACAGAGCCTCGCCCTGTCCACTTTGCACCCTCCCTTCAGGGATTTATATACACCTGTAAAATCCTTTAAATATTGCCTGACCTGATCCTCATCCACCAAAGCACATGTTCCCTGCTCCAGCCCTTCCCCCTGCTCTCAGGGACCAGGGGTTCCTGAAGGCTGATCCCTCTGGTAAAGACTGAGGTGAAGAAGGCTTTTCCATGTTCTCTCTAGCCAGCTCCCATATCCTAGTGAGCAATGTGCCCACAACATTTTCCCTACTCTCCCTTTTGTCACCCTATAGAAACCCTTCTAGTTGTGTTTGACATTCCCAAGCAGATTCCAGTTGGACTTTGCCTTTCCTCATCTCCACACACTCAGATAATCTCTGTATTCCTTTCTATCCACGTCCTTGCTTTCACCTTCTCTCTGCTGCTTCTGTGTTTGAGTTTTTCCAGGAGCTCTCTGTTTATCCATGCAGGCCTGCTGGTATTTTTCCCAGCTTCCTGCTCATTGGAATAGACTTTTCTTGAACTTGGAGATGACTCCTCCCAGGCCTCCTTATCCCAGGGGACTCTACCAAGCGGATAGAGGCCTTTGAAGAGGCCAAAATCTGAAGGCCAGTGTTTGATGTTTGCCTTCCTCCCTTCCTTCAGGATCCTGAACTCCACCAGCCAGCTCTGCTTTTGACCCCTAAAAGGGGTCAAAAGCAGAGCTGGCTGGTGGAGTTCAGGATTTTTCACAGAAAAATGGCTGGTAAGTTTGATGTCCAGCAAAGCACCTCTCCTTGTCAGCTCCTCCATCACTTGGAGGAGGGAGTTACCAGCACTGCATTCCAGAAACCTCCTGGGCTGGGAATTACAGAATCATAGAAGGGTTTGGGTTGGAAGAGACCTTAAAGATCATCTCATTCTAGCCCCCTGCCATGGCCAGGGCCACCTTCCATTAGATCATGTTTCTCAGGGCTCCATCCAACTGGACCTTGAATGTTTCCACAGATAAAGCGTTCACATCTTCTCTGTCCAACCAGTGCCAAGGCCTCACCAACCCCACACTAAATAATTTCTTCCTAATACCCAATCTAAATCTACTCTCTTCACTTTGAAGCCATTCCCCTTTGTCCTGTCACTACATGTTTTTGTAAATAGCCCCTCTCCATCTTTCCTGTAGTCTCCCTTCAGGTACTGGAAAACTGCAATTAGGTTACCCCAAGGACTTCTCCAGGATGAACAATCCTAATTCTCTTGGCATTTCCTCTTAGAAGAGATGCTCCATCCCTCTTTACTTGTCCTTCCAGCAGGTACCAGGGTGGCTGAAGTCCCCCATGAGGGCCTGCAGAGAGGCAACTGGCCCAGTACAACATCACCCAAACTG